ACTGAGAGGTCATGCCCTCTCAGATCCAACCCTTCTCACTTGAAAACTTGCCCAAAGGTGTTTTTCTGTACCAAGATGCCACGTGTTGCAGTGTCTGACAAGATGAACATCAAAATGGTATACAATACCGACAGGTTGTTAGGTAAGACACATATGCAACAGTTAGAAACCCTTTATTCCGAAACGTTTCGCCTACACAGTAGGCTTCTTCAGTCGAATACAGAAAGTAGGCAGGAACAGTAGAGATGTGAAGAACGATGTAATCATCCATCACCCTTAAAGTCGTAGAATTTGAGGTTGTCAGTCCCTCGGCCTGGAGAAGTTCAGTTCCATAGTCAGGAACTATGTGAAGATCAAGCGACAGTGCAGAGACTTAAATACTGTCGGAAGGAGAGGTGCAGGGTATAGTAGTAGTAGTAGTAGTGAGAGGCAACTGAGAGGTCTGTCCCCCCTCAGATCCAACCCTTCTCATTAAAAAAGCTTGTCCAAGGTGTTTTCTGTACCAAGATGCCACGTTGTTGCAGTGTCTGACAAGATGGACATAAAAATGGTATACAAAAACCGACAGGTTGTTAGGAAAGACCCCATATGCAACAGTTAGACAACTTTATTCGAAACGTTTCGCCTACACAGTAGGCTTCTTCAGTCGAATACAGAAAGTAGGCAGGAACAGTAGAGATGTGAAGACGATATTATTGTTTCATACTATGGAACAATGCTCTTCTCCAGACTGAGGGACTGACCACCTCAAAACTTTAAGGGTGATGGACTGATTACATCGTCTTCAAGTATCTTCTGCTTCTATCAACTTTTCTGTACTTGACTGAAGAAGCCTACTGTGTAGGCGAAACGTTTCATAATAAAGATACCTAACTGTTGCATATGTGTCTTACCTAACAATTTGCCTACAATTGAGGTGAGGCTTATTGGGCGGTAATTTGAAGGTAACGACTTGTCTCCTGCTTTAAAAACAGGAATTACATTAGCCATCTTCCACATATCAGACACTACACCTGTTTGAAGAGATAAATTAAAAATATTAGTTAATGGTTCACAGAGTTCCATTTTGCATTCCTTAAGAACCCTTGAAAAAAGCTCATCAGGACCCGGCGATTTATTTTGTTTCAGTCGGTCTATTTGTTTCATAACCATTTCACTAGTGAGTGTGATGTTACATAATTTATCTTCTTCAGGCCCACTGTAACAATTAATTACTGTGATATTGTTAGTGTCTTCCTGTATAAAAACCGAGAGAAAATAATTATTTAAAATCGAGCACATTTCATTCTCTTTGTCAGTAAGATGCCCATAATTATTTTTAAGGGGACCTATCTTATCTCTAACTTTTGGGTTAGTTTTCGAATCCTTAGCAACTTTAATTTCATAGTCCCGTTTAGCTTTTCTTATCCCTTTTTAACGTCCCTCTTAATGTCCATATATTGATTATGTAAAGTAAAAGGACACAAGTGCAACTAATGTGACATTTATTGTGGCAACGTTTCGCTCTCCAGGAGCTTTATCAAGCCATTGAACGAACATCAAAATGGTATACAATACCGACAGGTTGTTAGGTAAGACACATATGCAACAGTTAGACAACTTTATTCCGAAACGTTTCGCCTACATAGTAGGCTTCTTCTGTATTCGACTGAAGAAGCCTACTGTGTAGGCGAAACGTTTCGGAATAAAGTTGTCTAACTGTTGCATATGTGTCTTACCTAACACACTATCAAGCCATTACATGGCTTGATAAAGCTCCTGGAGAGCGAAACGTTGCCACAATAAATGTCACATTAGTTGCACTTGTGTCCTTTTACTTTACATATTGTCGGTAATTCTACCAACTTTATTACAATATACTGATTCAAAAGATGACCCTCACCTCTTCTGATACGCCTATAAATTCCTTTCTTCTGCCCTAAAAGATATTTGAGCCTATTATTCATCCATTTTGGGTCATTTTTATTCAGGCTAATTTCTTTATACAGGATAAATGTTCTTTGGGCGGCATGTATAGTGTTCAGAAAGTTGTCATACTGATAGCTCTCATCGTTACCATCAAGATTGATGGACTGAACACATCGACTCAAGGTTGAGGGACTGATTACCTCATTCTTCTCCTGTTCTTCAAGTTTCTCCTACGTATGGACTGATGAAGCCACTGTGTGGCGAAACGTTTCCTCAATAAAGATACCCAAGAGTTGCACATGTGTCTAATTTATCAACATATATATTATTAAACAACAACCCAGATGTTGCACATGTGTCTTAACTTTCATATTGTCGGTATTTTATACCTTTCTTGCACAACAACGGACCTAAGAACATAAGAACATAAGAACGAAGGAACACTGCAGAAGGCCTACTGGCCCATGCGAGGCAGGTCCAAGTCTCCTACCGGCTTAAGCCAATGCACCCAACCTAGTCAGGTCAGGTCACATTGACTTAAGGAAGGAACACGGCAACCGACCTGGTAGCACAAGCTATCAGGTCTAACTCACACCCACCCACATCTACTCATGTATTTATCCAACCTATTTTTAAAGCTACACAACGTTCTGGCCTCTATAACGGTACTTGGGAGTTTGTTCCACTCATCCACAACTCTATTACCAAACCAGTACTTTCCTATATCCTTCCTGAATCTGAATTTTTCCAACTTAAAACCATTGCTGCGAGTCCTGTCTAGTCTAGATATTTTCAGCACACTATTTACATCCCCTTTATTTATTCCTGTCTTCCATTTATACACCTCAATCATATCCCCCCTAATTCTACGTCTTTCTAGAGAGTGCAGATTCAGGGCCCTTAGTCTATCCTCATAGGGAAGGTTTCTGATACATGGGATCAACTTTGTCATCCTCCTTTGTACATTTTCCAGAGAATTTATATCCATTCTGTAATACGGTGACCAAAACTGTGCAGCATAATCTAAATGAGGCCTAACCAAGGATGTATAGAGTTGAAGAACAACCTGAGGACTCCTATTATTTATGCTTCTTGATATGAAGCCAAGGATTCTATTAGCTTTATTGCGAACACTTATGCACCTGTGTACGAATGGTATATAATACGACAAGATGAGAGTAAGACACATGTGCAACATCTGGGTATCTTTATTGTAGACGTTTCGCCATCCAGTGGCTTTATCAATACAAATTCCAGGACATAACTTGAAGACAGTAGAACTATGTACAGAAGATGAGGTAATCAGTCCCTCAACCTAGGAGTAGGTGCGAACAGCACCATAGTCGTGGTGCTGTTCGCACCTACTATGGTGCTGTTCGCACCTACTCCTAGGTTGAGGGACTGATTACCTCATCTTCTGTACATAGTTCTACTGTCTTCAAGTTATGTCCTGGAATTTGTATTGATAAAGCCACTGGATGGCGAAACGTCTACAATAAAGATACCCAGATGTTGCACATGTGTCTTACTCTCAACAACGGACCTAAAACTGATCCTCCCTAATTCTACATCATTCCAGAGAGAGCAGCTTCAGTTCTCTCAATCTGCCTCCTGGGAAGTTTCTCATGTATTTTTTTTTAAATCAAGGTATATGTATATATGCACATCTGACCATTGTTAATCTGGGAACTTTTTGATGGAGATCTTTTGTTAGGGCGCCGCCGTGAGAGGGTCGCCACAACAGCTGTGCTGGAAACACTGGTGGAACATTCCAGACTGGTTCATGCTGAGACTCATTCAACGGTCGTGGTGCAAAGCCACCATTACCTTACATTCATAGGGGAGCGCTAAACTAGTAGGGATCATACATCGCCTGGAGAATGGGAGTAATCAGATTTAATTTAAGGAAGAAGTTAGCACCATTTCCTTGGATTAAGAGCCCTTCAGCATCAAGACACCGTGTAGGGAAGGCCACCATAGATGGACGAGCATTCACAAAGGCGCCTTGAAAAAAATTAAAATATAATACAGATTTCAGTGTCGATTATGCCAACACATTAATGTGTCGGGGGAGACGGATTCCCATGACTGCTTCTGAAAACCTGTAAAGTAAAAGGACACAAGTGCAACTAATGTGACATTTTATTGTGGCAACGTTTCGCTCTACGGCTTGATAAAGCTCCTGGAGAGCGAAACGTTGCCACAATAAAATGTCACATTAGTTGCACTTGTGTCCTTTTACTTTACATATTGTCGGTAATTCTACCAACTTTATTACATTCTGAAAACCTTTAAAAATAGGTTAGACAAGTACTTGAGTAGACGTAGGTGGGTTATTTATGTAGGTGGGTGTGAATTAGACCTGCCCAACATGGGTCAAATAGGCCTGCTGCAGTGATCCTTCTTTCTTATGTTCCATGAGCTATCTGAATAATTGTTACACTCTGGGAGAAGCGCTAAGCCCATAGGAGTCATACAGCGTCTAGGGGAATGAGAGGCATTAAGGGTCGATCCAAGGAAGGAGAGGTCTAATTCCTTGGATCAACAGCCCCTCACTGGCATTAAGGAGACAGCTAATTTTTTTTTTTTAAGAAAAAATAACGCCATGAAGAAAGATCTAGCATTTTCTCTGGGCTAATGGACATATTAACGTTTGTAAAATAGAGCACTGTATGACTACAACGGAATTAGCACCTTTTTAAGAATAAAGCAAATAGAAGTCGAATTGCATGAAACTTATTAGTAATAATGATTACAAAACAATATTGATCCACATCATACGTGACGTCAGCTTCAGTCGCCGCCTCTCCCATCTCCCACGATGGCCGCATCACCGCTATGCTCACTTATCCTTCCGCACTTGGCTTAAGATTAAAATAAAAATATGTTTAATTATATATTCGTATGTTATAACAGTATACATAAAAGTTTTGTTATTTGACTTAATGATATTTTTATCGTAAGTAGCTACTCTGATTGTGAGATAAAACATAATACAGTGAGGACCTAGTTCTTGAACATTCGCGGAGGAACACACATGTACCCAGAGTTGATTCTCCGCAGGAAGCTTGGCTATAAATATGTGTAGTGTGGTGCATTGACTCACACAGCAGCTGACCTGGACCAGGAGTGCACCCCGGAGGCTTCAACACGAAACTATTTTTTTTTGTCGCTAAAATTTTAGTTTTTGGAGCATATTTGCGTTCATATTTCAGTGAATTTGTGTTAAAATCAGAAACTCTAGAATTAAGTGCAGTGTATTGTGAATTTACGTAAATAAAGTGAAGATCAGTGAAACTTTAATTCAGTGTATTAGTAAATAATTTCCTTTTGCAGCTGTTGAGATCCTGTAATGTCTTCCTTGGGGTTCTCCTGTGTCCAGGCGAGCAGCCACCTTACACACGGCTTGTCCTGTCAGCGCAAGGCCGGTTTTACACAAACACACACGTATAAAATGGTTTACCTGTGCAATCCTCTTCGTATATTAAATGGAATTATCGATCCTGTCTGAAAGCTTTGGTATATTTTTGATATACGTTCCATATTTATTATGGGAAGGGCTATCGTATTCTTTATTGCAGCCGTCCTGACGGGTTCTTCTGGGCGAAGAGATCCAGATCACCCAGCATTTCGCTGATCATCCCACCCTAGGGCCGCTTGGTATAAAGTATCCCCCAGAGATCGCTCGTTCGATTTTTTGTTATTTTGTATTTGGGAACATGTTTTGTACTGATGTTTAACCTTGAAGTGTTCGACTATCAAATTAAGGTTGATCAGCTTGCAAGTAGTTATGTTAGAACCACTTGCAATTTCCAACCTTAAGTTTTGCCTAGCTTGCAATTGGGTTTCATCTATAACTGTTACCAGATACAAGTATTAACATAGATTGTTTTGTCATTAATGGTATTGAACTGTTATATATGTGGCAGTACATCATCTGGCACATTGGTCTCACACTCTCTCTCACCCCATGGGCTGTCAGTATCTGTCCTGCTCGAACGACTTGTGATGGAGTAGCGACTGTCCTGGAGTGCAACCTCTGCTGCTGGGTCCAAGTCTGGCGGTATTTTAGCGCTTGAATACTCGCCGCCGAGTAGTAAGTTTTGTGCATTTGCAAATGTTTCAATGTTTGGGTTCGAATCCCAAGATTGAGTAACGTGTTCTCAGATAAAGTAGTTTTGATAGTTTACTGTTAATGCTCCATCTTTTTTTTTCATGTTGCTGGTATGTCTTGCCATCAGTTTTTTTTCCCCAGACAATTTAAACTTTTTTTCCTCTAGTACTTCAATATGGTTAGGATAGGGACTAACAGTACTTTCAGTGTGACTGGTTCTGTCGTGTTTATGATGTGGAGCTGTTGCTAGTCGCAGTTGCTGTCAGACCAACCAAGTTTGCTATCACTGGAAAAGGTGAGCGGTGCATCGCCATTGTCCCAATTCATTATACAATCACGGAATTAAATTTGTGACTTAGCTCCATAGTATTACAAGGTCAGACTTGCATACCAAAATGTTTATATTTTGTCAAATATGACTTGAGTTACTTAACAAGCTCGTTTTACAGTTTCAAGGATTAAGAATTTTGGGTGATATTACTATCAGACTTTTTAGTAGTTATCAAATAAATATTACATCACTGCTGGGGGAAATGCAAGGGAGTGGGAAATTTTAGTATTTGCAGATTGGACCAACATTATTATGAAAAGCAGATACTATTGTGTACTACAAGGCGAGGTACAGAACAGGCACTGGTGGCACAGAGTCCTCTGCAAGTATACACAAGGCAAGGCAGAACACAAATCTACACACATGGTTGGATTTGGAGGTAACCAGATATTTCGTTAAAATAAACTAGTATGGGACTGAAACTAAAAATGACAAGTGAAACTGGTATGTATTGAATGGTTAAATGCAAAACTTTTCCAACACGTCGATGCTTCCTTTACACAAAAGCTTGCAATTGCCAATTAAACTTGTTCGAATCAAATTAATTTGAAAACTTAACTGAAAGGTAATTATTGGCTTTGTTACTTATTAATATCTAGAAAGTTAAGCTAATGCCTGTTCTAGTAGTCTTTGAATCTATCCTTCTTCGTATCAGGTTATTCAATATTTTGTGACTTGGTGCATGGCAAGTCTTGTATGTTTTTGAGTACAAAATGAAAATGTGATCTGTAAACTGTTAGGGGGAGAGAATTGTTCTGATTTTAACAGGTTTGTGTCCTGCTCAACTAGCCTGAACTTGTTCCCTCGCATGCCAAAATGTTCTGCAACTCTCGACTTTATAACATCCACTGGGGACCCGCTTGGAAACTGTACATGGGTGATATACAGGTACTGATAATTGTTTGAACAATAGATCCATGATAAATAAAATTGTAAGTACTGTAGTTCAAAGAAACTTTAGACCCTTTGTCCAATCTCATAGAGAAAGGATAGTTTTTAATGTTTAAAGTGTAAGCTCTTTTTTTTTTTTTTTTTTTTTTTTTTGTGATTAGTCTGTTCATGTAGGATAGTTTAGATTTAGTATAATTTAGTGTTTTAAATATTGCATATTTGTTGGGGGGGGGGTTAGGCTACTGACCTTTCTTTACAAAAGGCATTCCTGGATTTTTGAGACTGGGGAAACTTATAAATAGCCATGTGCCTGTTGGAGTGTTTGCACATTGACCGTGAGTTTGGACATCCTGATACGTCCCCTTCAGCACAGCATCCCCATCCTGAGGTACCCCTGCAGGAGTGACTAGACATGGGGGCCACCCACTTACGATAAGTAGGATCTAATGTATTTCAAAGATTTCAGCAAATACCATGCAGAATTTAAGTTATATAATTGTATGTACAAAGGGTAATTTTGGAAGGAAATTATGAAATTACAATGTACAATAAATTAGTGTTTGAGCTAAATTATAGTACGTACAATCAGATACGTGATATGGGCCATCTCAAGTTATTTTTGTGCAAGAATTACTCTCGATTCTCAAGAATTCTTTATATTTAGCTTCCAATTCTTCAGTTTGACAATAGGAGAGTGGACTATTGAATACATACTTAGAGGTATGGGTAGGTACGAAGCTCCTAAATCATTTAGAAAGGTGGAAGTGGATAGGTTATTGATATTTCTTCAGGTGGAATTACGGTGTTGTTCGCCTTTGGTTGGTGGCTTCCCCTGCATATACATCTCATTGACTTAGAAGCTTCTTGCTCCTGTACAATGCTTCTTCCCCCTTCGGTACAGCACCTCCATCATAGAGCATTCCTGTGGAAAATTAAGGTAACCCAGTTTGATACTTCATCAATATGAAGTAATTTATATAAATTCGTAGTCTTCATTTTTAATTTAATTTTAAATACTATAACAGCAAATTCTGAAAGTTAAGAAGTACAGTTCATATATTCTCTGCTATAAGTCTTACCTTTTTTTGTACCCTCCAAAGCTGTACAGCCCTTGTGGGTTTAGTGTTTAGTTTTGGTTGTAATAATACAGTAATGTACCCCTCCCCCCAAAAATGCTGAAGCTTGTACCTGATTGATAATATTTAACCAAACAATAAAAGTTGTGGCATACTGTTCTAATGTTGGCAGCAATGTCTGAAGTTTTCTTGAAAACTGTTGTATACAGTGCTTCAGATTGATTTTCCATGTATAAATTTAGTTTAATTTCCACTAATTCTTTCATGTTTTTTTTTTTATTTAAAAGAATATATATAAAACTGAAGAATGATCATAAATGCCAACAGTCCTATGCATAAAGTACAGTACAAAAGTAAAGTGAGCTGTTCTCGGTTAAATGCTAGGCTTGCTTAGTTTACATTTTTACGCCTTGTAATGTAGCATAAGTTTTGCTAAGAATAACAACTAAATACAGTAACTACACCGGTGGCCTGGTGGCTAAAGCTCCCGCTTCACACACGGAGGGCCCGGGTTCGATTCCCGGCGGGTGGAAACATTTCGACACGTTTCCTTACACTTGTTGTCCTGTTCACCTAGCAGCAAATAGGTACCTGGGTGTTAGTCGACGGGTGTGGGTCGCATCCTGGGGGACAAGATTGAGGACCCCAATGGAAATAAGTTAGACAGTCCTTGATGACGCACTGACTTTCTTGGGTTATCCTGGGTGGCTAACCCTCCGGGGTTAAAAATCCGAACGAAATCTTATCTTGTCTTAATTACTCAAATGAAGAAAAGATTAATTGAAAAAGCATGATGACAGTTTCATTTTCATACAATCAACAATGGCTTAATATTTCCTTCAAATATGATTTTATGTACAAATCAAGCTTTGGGAAGTAGATTCTGTCCAGTATTAATTACAATAGGAATGTAAGGAGGAGCCTTGCAGCAGGTCTGTTGGCCCATGCTAGACAGGCCTTAACTTGCACGAACCTACACTCACTCGTTTACTTGTTCAACCTATTTTTAAAACCACCTGAGGTTTTGCCTCCGTGATGCTACTTTGGATTTTGTTCCACTCGTCCACAACTCTAATACCAAATCGCAGCTTTCCTATTTCCTTTTAAGCCTAATTTTTTTTCCAACTTTATTAAAACATTGCTGTGAATTCTGTCTTAGATATTTTTCAGCACATTAAGTTCCTGCCATCTGTTAATTTCAACTGTATCCCCACTAATAATATGCCTATCCAGAATGCAGATTCAGTATTTGGAGATTACACCTATAGCTCTCCATTGATTAAAAAAATTAGACAAATTTCAATTTTAATTTAAAGAGAATTTAGCAGAAAATCAACTCTTTACTAACTTTTTTTTTTTTTTTTTTTTGACGGTACACCTTGATTGAAGTCACTGAGAATTTGATACTGTACATGCAGCATTGCACTACTACATTAGTAAACAGTTTGTCCAAATTTTTTGTTTGCTGTTAGGGTAGAAGTTGACATGTAACAGTTTTCATCCCATTTAATAATGATTCCATTTTGCTCTTCACACCAAAAACTAGAGGTTTATCAGAATTGTTGGGCTAGCGAGCCATTAGGTGACATACAAACTGTCATTATTTAGTAGCCAGCAAGTACCATAAAGTAAAAAAAAATTCAAAGTAATGAAAGGAAATGTTTATTACAGTAGTTTGCTTAGCAGACGTGTTCATTCAGATTTGGAATAAGTAATCCATGTATGTATTTGTGGAGATAATGCTAATGCTATTTTTGGATGCTAGGTTGTTGCTAAATCTTAGTTTCTTTCAGTTGTGCAGTTATTACTAGACAAATTAGCTCGTGGATATGGCCTTGTTAACAATGTTGATTATTCTAGTACTATGTTGCATCTTAGTTTACAGTATTTTTAGTAATGAATGCTGGCTACAATAACCCCTACAGAATGGGACTAAATTAGATTTCAAAATTTGATGTTATAAAACGACAGGTGCTTTATCTGTTATTAAATCGTACTGTAATCTGTATCTCTTTGGTTAATTTGTTCTAATGTTTGAATGCCATGTTAATTAATCATTACTGTGTAAACACAACATAAGGAGACTGAACCAACATTTGTACTATGGTGCATTTGCTAAAAAAAAATATTCATTCTAAAATTTAAGCTTAAGAATTATGAAGCCAAAATTGAACTGATTGAAAATTTTTGTCCATAAACAAGTAAAGATATCAATACTTTTAAATTTTTCTGTGATTAGCATCACCTTATTATCTATGAAGACTCGTACAGACAGTAAGATGTTGGTACTGAGTCCACCCCATTTCTTATGGGAAAGAGCATGTTATATTGTACAGTATATGAACTGACATTTCAAAAAGCAGGGGTGGGGGGGTCTTTCAATGAAACAAATTGTTTATTCATTAGGTCTTCGCTTTGCATGGTGTGTGTGCCTTGTAATGCAGAAGTTCATCTGAAGAATCCTTTTCACAGCTTGTGCAACAATATTTTAGTGGCCCCTGTATGTATGCAGAATAGGCTTCATCCCAAATGTACTGTCGAGACTCGCCCACAGGTAACGATAGAGTATCTTTGACTGATACATTAAAATATCCTGAAATATTAATTTAACATTCTGTATGAATTAAGAAACAAAGGGGGGTTGGGCAGTCAGACATGATCATGAATTATTTAACAGTTCATATGAAAGTACATTACAGTACTGCATAAGTTTGTTGCTGTTGCACAAGGAAAAAATCACTCCCTAAAATATGGCAACCACTCAAGTGTATTGATCCTTGTTTTGATTGTCCTATGCAAGTCTTTTTAAATAACCTTTCATTTCAAAAATATAAATGCACAAAGTAACGTATTTGCTGTTACATGATATAAACGTTGTGCCGGGTATTGTGTAAATTATTCCAGAAATGTTGCCATATGGTTTAGGATACAGTATATTTTTAACTGTGATAGTTTGAAACTTATTATGTATGTACTATACCAAGTGGCTATTTGTTTTCTCTTCAGATGAATCTGTTAATTATTTCTGGCAGGTCAGTCTCTACCTTCCTTATCTTCATTATTTTCTCTGAAGTTTAAGGGATTGAGGGTGGGTGAACTTATCTTACATATTTCCAGCCCCGAAATTTTTCAAATCTGTTGCTGTTGTAAAGTCCAGTCTCTTGGCATCTTGAGAGCAACATATGAACTACCAGGTAAAAGGTATGAAGACTGCCTTGTCTTAAGAAATATTGTGATATTTGCTGTAATATCAAAAATGTGGAGAAATTATCTGCAGTTATTGAGGGTTAAATTTACTAATGCCTTTGCATTTCAAATTACTGGGAGAAATAAGAGGGAGTGGGGAATCGTGTATTACAGTATTTGCAGATTGGAGCAGCATTGCAAAGGAAATTCAGTTAAAATTTTGAAGAAGTTGAAGATGATGAAATATTATACAGACTGTTTGGCATAAGGCTACCCAGATGCTATACACACAAGACGACAGTGATATTTGAAGGTAACTGAAAAAAAAAAATCCCAATTTCTAAAACAAATATAGTACAGTATATTGGCATCGGGCTAACTTACAAACTATTTGGAAAAATTATGTATTTATAGAATAGGTAACACATTAACTAAACATTAGTATTTGTATACCACTGCATTTACTTAATGAAATTTTTTTTAAATTAACGGTTTCCTGAGTTGCATAAAAGCTAGAATTGAAAGGCTATTGGATTATATTACTAGACATTCAACTTAGTGTTCATCCAAGGTGAAGATTTGATTTGCATGGGGGGGGGGGGAGGGGGAGGTAACTGATAGTATTTTTCTGTAAAGGCTTGCCCAGGTGGTTTGAGACTGAAATCTATTATTCGCCTCTGCTGTCTTGGCTTCTCCCTGTTGGCACCTGCATACACATGGCTAATAATTTCGACGATCTGTCCAGTACTACTTGCTCTTCAGCACATCAACATCCTAAGGCATGTGTACAGAAAATTGGAGGTAACCCATTTATAGATTGGTCTTTGATCTAAAGTTTAAAGGAGCTATTTCTAAAAAGTAATGTCGTATATGTAGATAACCTTTTTATATTTTTTGAGTGATTAATGTTGATCATGCAGACAAGGGGGTATTTATTTGTTTTCGGATTAGTACATCATTGTATGCATCCCAGATTCATTGAGTAATTGGTTCAATATTGCTGAACTTCACTCATAAGTAGTTTCTTGACTGAATGGCTTGCATTGCAAAAATTATCATCCCAATTTGAAAACTGGATTGCATTCTTCCACTCTTCTCACCAGCATGAGAGGAAATTTATAATTTTTTTTTTCTTCTCCATATGTCTCCAGCTCTTGTTCTTAAGTCTGTTTGTAAATTTCTTTATTTTTTCACCATTCTGTATTTTATACAAATACATACGGATGCTGAAAGAAAGGAAAGATGTAATGATCTAAGTGAGATAATGCAAGTCCTGTATATAGCTGTGGTCCATAATTAGGGTGTCAGCAATTTGCTTTTTTTTTTTTCAGTAGGGAGGCTATTCTCCTCGTCTCTCAATTGGTATTTCCCAATATACTCTCTGAAATTAACTTTACTTAGTTCCTCTTTACCATTCTGAAAGGAAGGTAACAAGGCTAGATAAGTACGCTATTAATTTTCAAGCAAATTTCTAATGTCCCATAAGCCACTTTTTGCATGTTGAACATCTGAGCATTAGCAAAATCTTAGCTTGTGTTGTGCCAAAGTAATCTTAAATATGTTATATTGCAGTAAATATGTTTGAAGGTTATATTTTAATATTTATTATTTCGTGCACATAAGTTATTCTTATTGTAGCTGTGGAGAGAAGCTATTCTCAGATGTTACTCAAGTTTGCTTGTCTTCAGAATTTAATTGCCACGTGTAATTTTATGGAAATCAGCTGAACTAATTTTCTAACATTCATGATATTAAATAAAAGGAAATTTTCACATGATAAAATTAAATAAAAACTTTTAAATGTAACTTTAGACCTTGAAGATAATGATTAACTTCATATGGAATAGTAAGTGATTACACTTTTTTAATTCATCCCATTCTATATGGGAAAGAAATCTGGTATCTGATGGGGCATTATTCATGAGGTAAATTTAATGTGGATTGAGTGTATTGTGATACAGGTTCCACAAATTGAATTTTGTTCTAATCTTTGTAAAGTTTTGTAGAAGTCTCATAATCAAATTCACTAGTGTAATTTATAAAAAGCATTAATGTGCCTTGAAAGCTCCAGTTATATGCAGATTTCTTAGTATGAATACAATACTGACAATTAAGATGTTGCAGTTTTAAATAAATTTGAAATATGGGAGTGTAGGGGGATTGCACTCTTTATGGGTGATTAAAAGTATATAAAGTTATCAGTACCTCTTCCATCATTATCCCATGTGGCATACTGATTTTTTAACTGCAAGGTCTTGAATTGTGGTCAAAGACCTGCTTATATCTCTGCTGACAATTTCCCCTCCATTATTTTTGAGGATTCTCTCTTGACAGGAAAGGTATTTGTCATTTTTTTATTGTCCATGCTATATTTCTTTTGCATATATGCAAAGGGAAGTACTGTATGTGAAGAGAAATGCCACAAGGTTACATCCTGCAGATGTTTTGCTTGTCCTGGAATGTTTTTTGAAGTAAAGGATTTTTTTCTTGAGTGGTATTAATCTTCACATGTTTGTCAGGAACCTTTGCTATATGCAGAAGTTGGTGTATTGATTTTGTTGATATATATTTGGTCGCTCTTCGGATTGCAAATATAGTATAAATGTAGTCATTCTTTATTATGGTATATACTATCAAACTATGGCCCTAACATTGTATAAAGATCTGGGAAGGGGGGTGGGAAGCAGTCACCAAGTTTTGTATTTTAAGATTCATTGCAAAAGTTGCAGAGGATGGAATGGAGCAGGTATTTTCCCCAAGATGCAGAATAGCAGTGCAGTGAGTGGTCACTTAAATATTTGTCTTTTGTTATTTCACAGTAATGTTAAGGCATGGTAGCAAAGTTATTAAATTTTGAAGACAAGCTAGAGATACGTAATGAATATTAAAACATTCTGCAGCTCGAGATTTACTGTGGTTTTGACAGCATTGCTTTAGTAATAGCTACTTTGGTATTTGATAACCATACCATATTGTAAGCTTGACAGTAGGAGAGGAATTTAGTTGGTTAATTTTCTTAGGATTATTGTCTCAAGCACTGGATGTGTCTGTGACCTGCTTCAGCATACATGCAAATTCTACTATGATTGTTCCAAAATAACCCTTGACTGTATTGGGAGGAATGCAGACTTCTGTGGTAGGAATGACTAATTTATTCAACATATAAAGTGATTAACACAAACCAGCCAGAGTAAAATATGTAGGTGGGAGAAGGGAAGTTCATGCTCTTCAAGCACAGGCTATCAGCTGCATATTTTTCTGCTGTGTTCATCACTAAAGTTTGACATTGAGTCCTTCATATGTTGCTATTAGACTTTGTTAGTAAGCTGTTTCAGTGAAGTACTTTGTCTTTGGCTTGTGTATAATGTATATATTTAAATTGATAGTACAAGGAAGAGTGATAAAAAATTTTATTTGCTTACTTAAACCAGTTTAGTGCCAGAATTAAAAAGAACACTTGACAAACCAAAGAGTTTGCCTGATTGGAATTTCTGGTTCAGCATATCAAGCAGTCATTTCTTTCAGAAAGTACTTGTCCTGGTGCTATGCTAGACCAAAGTCTGAATCAAGGCAAGGCCTTCTTGTCAAGCATTTACCCTTGAATATATAATTGCTTTCACTGAACTGCATGGAACATTTTGTCATGCAATTACTTCAGTACTTTGCCTACACTGGACTGCATGTCACATGTTATTAGTTTTGGATTTCATTCCAGGGTTTTGAGCTAAGGGCATTCATAATTGTTGGTATCATATTAATGGTATACAATACTGATTGGTAGATAAATAAGATATGCAGGACTATCTTTATTGCAGTAAAGATACCAAGGTGCTGTACATGTTTTATTTATCACCATTAGTGGTATTCCACTTATCCCTGTGCAAACTTGTAACAATATTAGACTTTTTAAATTACACTATACAGTTGTAAAGAAACAATTTTTACAGGCTTAGCCTTGGGAAACTGAATGGGATGAGGGGGGGGGGTAGACTTATTTTCTTATGCTATACATAGCAGCATGGTCTCATCTGGTGGCAACTGATGCTTGCAGCTGACATGTTGGCTCTACTAGGTTTGTCATCAACATCATGCATACAGGTTTGCTATGTGCTTGGTTTTCGCAAGGAAATACGAATATTGGACTTTTCATCCAAACGAATATTGGACTTTTCATCCAAACAATAACTTTTATGCTTTTTAAACATGAATTTTTTAACTAAAGCCATAAGCATTCTAGTTTGGAGTAGGTATGGAAATTCGTTAAAATACCTTGTTGAATTTTAAAATTAAACTAAGCTATAAACATGAGTAGGTATAGGTAGGCAAGAGCTAAGATTTCTGTTAAAGGACTGGCGGCCAGTGTTTCAACGTAGGGGTTGAGAAATGCGGATCCACAGCGTGTTCGTGTTCTGACTCGGCTTCTTGGAAGGCAGCTACATGTGCAGTCCAAAGAATATCTGTAAAATCGGTATGTGGATTATGTTACTCCATTGCCATAGGATATAAATACTAATACTCATGACATTAAGACAAGCTATTTTGATTGATCTCGAACGACCATGTGTTGTGAGATTTTGCATAAAGCCATAGGGTTTGGGGAAGGAAAGGGGGGGGGGGGCTGGAGTAAGCTATTTCTTTAGTTACAGACCAGACATCGTTGACCAGGAGTTACACTGCACACGAACATACTTCACCGAATCCCTGAGCAAGAGATAATCATTAGCAAAGTTGGTTAGTAAATATGTTAGTAGTACTATCATAATGAATTATTTCCATAAGTTATTTAGTACAGTTAATTTCAGTTTCATAAACGTACAATACAAAATATTTATAATTACCAATATTTTTTTTTTTTTTTTTTTTTTTACTGAAACTTGATTTTCCACATTTCAGAACATGACCACCACGTATCATGGCAAATGTAAATGTGAAGATTAGTGCTTTTGGGATTTTGGGTGTTGTAGTCTTATCAATACTCATTTTAAACATGGCTAAGTGCTATACATGTAGATTTATGAAAAGTGACTTACTTTTTCTGGCTGAACTAATTGTCACCTCTGCTGTAATTAAATAAGTTAATTCCTTTAAAAAAATTGCAATACTGTAAACACATGAATATATTATTGTAAATTTGTTTTATTCTAGCATTCAGTGGGCCAATGAAAATTTACAGTGTGGGAAGAAATTTAATTACAGTATACAGCTTAGGTGAGCTCACTACAGAACAGCTGCTGGGATAACCTGTTTGGTTAATTTGACTGTAATTGCAATATGTATGTTGTAAATTTAAAACAATTTCAAGATGGCCCAGCTCAGCTTATGTTGAGTGAATCCCTAGGGTTCGATGAAAATGTGTGCAAAAATGCTAGTTTATCTTGCATTTTAATTAATCATACTATAGACTATCACACAAGGTACTGTATGTTACACTAACAATTGTCTTAATTTATACATAATATTGACGGTGACAGGCAAATCCTGGTTCTGTCACTACTAAATTTGTAGTGAAGTCACTTGCTCTGAGCTCACCTGTAAACTGTCGTTTTTGTAACTTAATTTCCTCCTTATACATATGTAATGACTTCATCTTGCAGAGTACTGGAATAAGGAACAAGATACAGGAATTAATCTTCATTTTCTTGTTTCTTCGTGAGTTTATAATACTACAGTATTATTCATGTGAATAAGTTGTGAAATTTTTTATATACATAACTGTACATAAATAATCTCTCTTATCTAATTGCCATTGTGTTGGAACGGTGTTGCCATTTGTTTATTGCTGGAATATGTTAAAATGTGAATGTTGCATTGCTGTTTATTCTGATATGAATATAAATGGGAGGATTCTTTTTATCATTGTTCTTCGTTCAGTAAATGCCTGCCTAAACGGTTTGATAAATGCTGTTAAATTTTATGTTCTTTAATATTGGTATAGTTTTGAGCTAAAGATCTTGTGTTCATCCTTATTGTTTAAAGGCTAACAGTAGAAAGTATTACCTTGTGTTTATAAATTTGGGTTGGACAGATTAATAGTTTTGACTGCAGTGTTAGTTAATTTCTCATTTGTGCTTCGGTCTGACAGTTTTACCTGGACTTGTTTGAAGTGTTTCTAGCTTTATAAATGTTGAATGTTGCACTTGCTGCAAAGTCAATTTTTCAGTAATCCTCTTTAATTTTAAACACTTATCACTTTCACCATGGTGGTCAATTTGTTGAAAGATTGATTATTCCTGCTGCAGTTGCGAAGCTTGTACATGTAGGATATATTTTCTTCAGATACATTCACTGTGAGGCTGAACTAATGTAATGTTCTTAATCTTTTTTAATGCAACTAAATTAGCAAAAGCTTTTTCACTTTGTCATCTGTTTAAAGGATTTTTTTTATTACCTAAAAGGTCACTAAACATTGCCCTTGCATTTCAAAAATTTTTTTTTGCAAAATTTTGCGCTGTCTTGTGTATGCAGTAAATTCAAAGTAAACGTGAGAAATTTGTTTTTCAGTTGTATTTAGGATAGTGCATTTTGTAAACTTGGAGGAACTGGAACCTTGCATTAATGGATGTGTATTCTATTAATTCAAGTGTTGGTCACGCTCTTGTAAACCCAAGAGGATTACAGGAGAGTGGGAAAGTGGGTGGGACTTTTCCTCCAAGTAATAAACATTGTCATTTACCAGTCATCAAAAGAAAAAAAAAAAACGACACTGAAGATGGAGGATCACAAGCTAGCTACTAAAGGTTAGCATTTTTATTGTATTCAAGATAACTTTAATATTGCAGAAAAAACTTTTTTTTTTGTAGCCATATAAATTTGTGGTCACCCAAATTTGCATTACCATCAATTCATCCTTTTGGAACTAATTAGGATCCTGAACACATGGTCATTGCAAAAAAAAAAGTCAGTGATAATCACTATGTAATACTAAGATTTAAGTAATTTGTATATTATCTCTTAATGGTCCCACCTTAATCTCTGCTGCTACCTTCATTACTATTTCTGCCACTATTCTGTGCCCTCCAACACCATTAGTGTTAACTCTTCACAATTCCCTCTTATATATACTGGTCTTTCAAGCTTCAGTGCAACTTGTAGTCAGTCTGATCAAAACCTTGTGTGCAAGGCATTTTTATCTTCAGTAAATATAATTCAAAGACTTGCCCTTGTTGGGTATTCGGTGGGTGGCCTTTTCATGGTTTCACATCACTAGTCAAAGTTTTACTTTTAAATGTATAAACTTCATATTAATTTGAAAAATAAATATAGTGATCCATCTATTATTGTTAGGCATGAAAATTATACGGTACTGTATATTAAATACTAATATACAGTAATCCATTCACAGTTAAAGGAATGTGTAACCTGCTTACTGCGACTATACTTCTTGATGTTCAAGTACAATGTAATTTACAATCGACTAGGGCAGATGGAGTGGCATACAGAATTTTGTGGTTGCAACAGAATGGGTTGTGAATTGGATCTCTGATTTTGTAAGATGATATCGCATCATCTAAGGATCCATATTTCAATATGAGCAGGTTTGTATTTACGTTGTTATACTAAATGTGTGTATAATACATATAGTGTATGTATATATATATATATGTGTGTGTATGTATATAATATATGTATAGTTTAATATATATGTATCTTTTCTTTTAGGTTTGCCAGCTTAGGTCGATAGCTTGAATACCAGTACAGAGAGAAGCTGGGTGAAGATTGCATCGGTATTCTCGGAAGGATAATTAGGATATTCGTAATTGTGCTGGTGACCTAGTTATGGTTGGATACTGCCAGTGCAGACGTTATCTTGGTTCCCAAAAATTCGTTGGATTCTGCACTATGACTGACAGATTGCTTCAGTGTTGTGTTGGGGTCTACATGTTGCAAACCATGGATGCAGAAGGCTGAAGATGATCTTCAGACAAAAGATTTAAGGTTAACATGAATGGAGATGGACAAGTGTGCTGGGGTCTACAGGTGCAGATGGACAGAACACTTCGGCCTACAGGTGCAGTTGGATGATGTGCTGGGGTCTACAGGTACAGATGGACAGAACACTTTGGCCCACAGGTCAGGTTGATGGATGTGCTAAAGCCCGGGATTGCAGTTGTCGATGTGCTGCTTCCACATGTGATGTGCTGAGGCCTATGGATGTGTTTGGGCCCACAGGTATGATGGATGTGCTTGGGGTCAAAGGTATGATGGACGTAGTGTTGGGGCCTACAGGTATGATGAACGATGTGCTGGGGCCCACAGCTGTGATGAATGATGTTGGGGGCTCACAGGTATGATGGATGATGTACTAGGGTCCACAGGTACCCTAGTACATGCAGGGGTCACAGGTGCACATGGAATGGTGTGCTGAGGCCATGGGTGCAGATGGAATGGTGTGCTGGGGCCATGGGTGCAGTTGGATGATGTGCTGGGACCATGGGTGCAGATGAATGATGTGCTGGGGCCATGGGTGCAGATGAACGATGTGCTGGGGCTATGGGTGCAGATGAACGATGTGCTGGGGGGCCATCGATGCAGATGGAATGGTGTGCTGGGGCCACAGGTGCAGATGGACGACGTGCTGCAGCCACAGATGCAGATGGAACAGTGTGGGGCCACGGGTGCAGATGGAACGGTGTTGGGGCCATGGGTACAGATGGATGATGTGCTGGGGCCACGTGTGCAGATCGACGATGTGCTGGGGCCACGGTTGCAGATGGACGATGTGCTGGGGCCATGGGTGCAGATGGACGATGTACTGGGGCCACAGGTGCAGGTGGAATGGTGTGCTGGGGTCACAGGTGCAGATGAAATGGCGTGCTGGGGCCACGGGTGCAGATGGACGATGTGCTGGGGCCACGGTTGCAGATGGACGATGTGCTGGGGCCACGGTTGCAGATGGACGATGTGCTGGGGCCATGGGTGCAGATGGACGATGTACTGGGGCCACAGGTGCAGATGGAATGGTGTGCTGGGGTCACAGGTGCAGATGAAATGGTGTGCTGGGGCCATGGGTGCAGATGGAACGGTGTGCTGGGGCCACGTGTGCAAATGGAACGGTGTTGGGGCCACGGTTGCAAATGGAACGGTGTGCTGGGGCCACGGGTGCAAATGGAACGGTGTGCTGGGGCCACAGTTACAGATGGACGATGTGCTGGGGCCATGGGTGCAGATGAACGATGTGCTGGGGCCATGGGTGCAGATGGAATGGTGTGCTGGGGCCACGGGTTCAGATGGAATGGTGTGCTGGGGCCACGGGTGCAGATGGACGATGTGCTGGGGCCATGGGTGCAGATGGACGATGTACTGGGGCCACAGGTGCAGGTGGAATGGTGTGCTGGGGTCACAGGTGCAGATGAAATGGCGTGCTGGGGCCACGGGTGCAGATGGACGATGTGCTGGGGCCACGGTTGCAGATGGACGATGTGCTGGGGCCACGATTGCAGATGGACGATGTGCTGGGGCCATGGGTGCAGATGGACGATGTACTGGGGCCACGGGTTCAGATGGAATGGTGTGCTGGGGCCACGGGTGCAGATGGACGATGTGCTGGGGCCACAGGTGCAGATGGACGATGTGCTGGGGCCACAGGTGCAGATGGACGATGTGCTGGAGCCACGGCTGCAGGTGGACGATGTGCTGGTGTCACGGGTGCAGATGGACAATGTGTTGGAGCCACGGGTGCAGATGGAATGGTGTGCTGGGGCCACAGGTGCAGAAGGACGATGTGCTGGGGCCACAGGTGCACATGGACAATGTGCTGGGACCACGGGTGCAGATGGACGATGTGCTGGGGCCACGGGTGCAGATGGAACTGTGTGCTGAGAGGCCACGGGTGCAGATGGAACTGTGCTGAGAGGCCACGGGTGCAGATGGAACTGTGTGCTGAGAGGCCACGGGTGCAGATGGAACAGTGTGCTGGGGCGACCAATGCAGATGGATGATGTGCTGGGGCCACGGGTGCAGACAGACGATGTGCTGGGGCCCACAGGTGCAGACGGGCCGTGTGCTGGAGCCACAGGTGCAGACAGATGGTGTGCTGGGGTCACAGATGCAGACACGGTGTGCTGGGGCCCACAGATGCAGACGGACCGTGTGCTAGAGCCACAGGTGCAGACAGATGGTGTGCTGGGGCCACGGATGCCGACAGACGTGTGCTGGGGCCCACAGGTGCAGACTGATCGTGTGCTGGGGTCACAGATGCAGACACGGTGTGCTGGGGCCCACAGATGCAGACGGACCGTGTGCTAGAGCCACAGGTGCAGACAGACCTTCTGCTGGAACCACGGATGCAGGCAGATGGTGTGCTGGGGCCTACAGATGCAGACGGACGGTGTGCTGGGGCCCACAGGTGCAGATGGACGGTGTGCTGGGGCCCACAGGTGCAGACGGATCATATGCTGGGGCCCACAGGTGCAGACGTATTGTGTGCTGGGGCCCACTGGTGCAGATGGACAATTGTCTGGGGGTTCGCTGGTGCAGATGGACGATGTGCTGGGGTTCACTGGTACAGATGGATTTCATGAGGACCCAGTTTGGATGGACTAGGTTGAGTATCACTGTACAACAATGAAAGCTGCACAAGAACCTACTTAGTATTATAAATGATTATTGGGGTAGTGTTACTCTGGCTTAGCAAGTCTTTCATTAAGAAATGCAGCATTTCTTGTCTGACAAGTATGTATGAATAAATTGTAATTTTGTAAATTAAGCAGCGAAGTTATAGGCACCAGAGTAACACGTCTAAAATTAATCTGTAAATGTAAGGCACCCCATCTTCCTAGATCACAGGTTGCTTGGGGAACTACACCAGCAGAGTTTGATGCAATGAAGTTATACCATGTATGTGGTTACATGGGGGTGTCAATGGGCTACATCACAAAATGAAGGGATGAGAGTAGGCACTGAATTATAGGTGCAGCATTTGAAGATCAAGAACAGTTACACCAGGTGAAGGCCTCGAATTTATGAAGTTAAAAGACATTGAAGATTATGGCGGCACTGTGACAGGAAGCTAGATGATGCTCTTTCATCCTTTGCAAGAAAGGTCAGTACTTAAGAGCTAGTAAAAATCAACCATACTTTGTAATTATGCTTAATCTAGGTAAATTCAGTCCTTAATATATTTATGGATTTTTTTTTGTTTCAAGAGATTATTGAATCTTACAATATGCCTCAGTTTTTCTTTCTGTAATATTGGCAGTGGTCTGGGGTCATTGCTAGATTTTACTAGGACTTTGCTGTTAAAATACTGAAAGCTAAAGCTTTGGTAACTACTGTGTATGATTAATATCTTAAAAATTTCCCAACTAAATATACGGCATTTTATTTACGAAACTTTTTTTTTCTTTCAGATTGACATGGTTGCTATGGAGATACAGCTGAAGACTCCTGGTTAGCATTCCTTATTACTAAAAGAAAAAAATTTACTAGTAAGAATGTAATGTTAGGGGAAAATATTGCATGATTATCGGGATTACTTCTCGTTAACATTTAAGAAAAGATTGCAAGGTATTTAGGTTGGCCCCAGAATTTTTCATGTTTTTTTTTTTCTGGGGAGGTAGTTTTTTTTTATCCTTGGGGTTGCTTTTATGTGGACAAAGGCCTTAAACTGGCACAGCCTAAATAAAAGGTCTGTAACCTACATGGAACCTACAAACAATAGAAAATTGCTTCAGGAGTGGATGGAAAATAAACTAAAGATCACGGTTCCAGTTAAAAATATGAAAGGTTTTAAACCATACTTGCTACTATAGCACTACTGGTAAATGCAAAGAACTTGTACGTTGCAATTAAAAAATACTCTATACATCACTAGGAAGAACCAGTGAGACTACAGTATTACAGGTATGATCTAAATTGGAAATGGACATATTCTGGGGTATTTTGCTCATCCATCTCCCTTTTGCCACCTGATGCCCTCGCTTCCTTCCTGCCCTGCAGCGCTGTATAGTCCTTGTGGCTTAGCGCTTCTTTTTGATTATAATAATAATAATAATCTGGGGTATTTTAAGGATTGCTACTTTGCGGTTCATTATTTACAGTACTTGGTGCTTAATCTTTAAGCAATTTTCAACTTAAAGATATTGGGGGGGGGGGGGGATTGGAGTATTTGAGAGCCCTAGAAAATTTATACTGGTAAAGGCATTTAGAAGGCTTAATTGCACTTATTAATGAATGCATTAACTGGTGAACTTGAATTACTACCATGATTTAAATGAAAAAATAACCTAAATGCTTGCATACAAAATGGTAATAAAAGTACACTATACTAAAAATTATGTTCTGTAAATTATTAGATATGATTTGGCTGGAAATTTTTTTTTACATAACTTAAAGTTCTAACAATTTTGTTTTTATCTTTGTTCTGCTATTCAGAAACGAATGTGGTCCCTTAGCTTGTAATGGGAAATTTCCCTTATGCGGGGAAGTCTTTTAACTGCAGTGATAAACAACTTTCAGCTGATAAAAAAATATGGCCTTCTTTCTATAGTATTTCAAAATATTTTAAACGCAACCTGTAAGACTATTAATATTTCAGGTATAAAAAAATTGGAAGGGGAAAAATCATTCAAATATTATCTTGGTGGTTTTACTTAAAATGAAAGTATCTTCGTGTGAAAAATTTTAAACAAGATGCATTCATTGAAAAAGGGGTTTTAAAATTGAAATTCACGGGTTTTTGCAAAGCCCCTTTTTAAACCTGCTCTTCATTGACTTTGCAACGATGATTTACTCCACAAACTGGGATGTACTTTTCGCACTCCCCTCAGCCCTTTCTGTTCGTCTTGCTCCCCTTTACCCTTTCACCTCCACTCCCCGTGTTTCCGTAACCTTTTTATCCTCCTTCCCCCCTTTTCCCCCTGTGCCCCGCTTCCTTCCTCCCCTGCAGGGCTGTTAGCCCTTGTGTCTTGCGCTTTTTTTTGATTATTATAATAAAAAGAAAAAATCTTGCAAAACCCTGTAAATTTGTGTGTTATGAATTAGTGAAGTTGTTTGTATTTGTTAAATTTTTAAAGATTGTGTACTTTTTTATTTTTAATTTTTGCTGTACAAGCAAGCCAAATTTTTTTTGGGGGGAGGGGGGGGGGAAGATGTGGAAAAATTTTTTTTGCATTATGTTTCAGGATCACCCTAAAGGGATATTTATCAATGTAGTACGGGTTTTGTTGGTTCAAAATTGTATTTATAAAAAAACTAGTCAATTCTTTTTGGCAACTCGACATTTATTAAAAAAAATGTTCCTTTTAAAGGGGGGCCCCTTGGCGGGTGAGAGGTCTTGGTTGAGGAATTGCCCTGGGGTTTTTTTCCTCAGACCGAACCTAATTACCCCCCATTCTCCCCCCCCATCCCCCCTCCCAACCCTCCCCTTTTTCCTTTCTCCTCCCCCTCCTCCTCACCCTCCCTTTTCCCCTTCCCTCTTTTTACCCTCGTGATTTTCCCCCCACAGGCGCGCTTTTCCCTGGTGGGGGAAAGGACAGGGGGTCCATCCCATTCCGTTGGGGTTTCTTGGCGGGGGTAGTTTGCGGGGAATCTGGTTCCCTAGGGTGTCCCGACCCCTCTCGGACCCCGGAGTAGCTTTGGGGTTTTTTGGGCGAGGGGGTTTTTTATTTTGGAAACCCACCTTTCGGATTCCCGGGGGTGGTGGTAAAGGGGAGGTATGTTTGTGGCGGTTTCCCGGCCGCCTCTCTTTTGTCCCCCGAGGTAGTCGGCAGATGTGAGGTTTATCCCAGATTGTGGTTTACTGGCATAAAGGGTGGGTTGGCAGGGTTCCATGCTGCATCTGGCTACTAGCGGGGTCGGTCCTTTTGGGCGCGGAGGGAGATTTCTGGCCCCTTTTTCTTTCCCTCCTGGAAAACTTCCTCCCGGTCCCCCCCTTTTTTTTTTTTTTTTTTTTTGTTTTATTTTCTTTTCTTCTTTCTTTTTTTTTCTTAAAAAAACAAAAAGAAGAAGTAACCTAACCATGGCAGCCCTGACCATGAACCTAGTACCCCCGGGCCCCTTTCTTGATACCGCCCCCCGTTCTGACCCCGCCTCGTTTTTGGACCATTTTTCGACTTCCTCATGCCTTGTACCTATTGCGGGCGTTTCCTCACCCGCTTCAGGTTTACTGGGGCCTCGACTGACCCCTTCGTTTTACAGCCCTTCGTCTCCTCTGACTATGTTTTGGGCCCTTTCCCCCTTACGGTGGGAAATTTTTTCAAATCCCCGACCCGTTCCACGTCGGACCAACCTGGTCCACGCCTAAACGTCAACGAAAATTACCTGCTGATGATACTTCTCCATTCACCTTCTCGTTTTTTTCCAGAAACGTTGACACGCCCTTATCCCTTTCCACGCCAGTTTCAGATGAAAGTGGACTAAATTTTCACTTTACGACCCAATTTCCCTCTACGCCTTCTTTTGAAATGTTTTGGAAAGGCACCCCTGCCATGTTGGTAAAGATTTTTCTTTTCAGTCTTAGAGCGGTACGGCTCATTCCCGTACAGAATGCTACCCGGTCGTGAGCTTCTCGTTTTCCCATATGTACTGTTCCTGTCCCCTTGAAAAACATCTTCCCCTCAATTCTTGTAGTGGTACCGTTATTCTGCCCCATACATAGTTCAAAAAAAAAATTTCCGCATGTGGCACGCATTCTCGAAAGTGGAACCCCAAAAGATTCCCAATCCTCAAGGTGACATTACGTTCTTTCCCCGTGGGGGGAGACGTACCCTGAATGTGGTCGTTTAACTTTTAGCCGAGAACCCCCATCCCCCGTTTAATAGCAGGACATCGGTTCAAGTTCGAAAGGTGTCCCACACCACAACAGGTGAAATTGGCGATTTGGCCATCCAGCAAAATATTGCAGTCTATCGCCGAATGCCCGTCTGGGGTCCCCGTGCCCATTTTACGTCTTGCAACGATCCCCCCTTTGCCTTAACTGTCATGAGGCTCATTCTTTACTCTCGCCGTTGTCGGTCTATTTAAACGAGGGAAAACCGTTACCTCAAGAGCAGAGGTCTCCCTTATGCCATGGAGTTTCTCATCCCCGCCCCCAAGGGAGACCCCACGTGTTTCTTATTCCGTTTTTTCAAAAACGCCCCCCCCTTTTGGTACCATTTCTACACCCCCCTCTGTGGTTACCTTCCCCAAAATACCCTGTATCTAATCCTTTTGTGCCCCGGCTCAGACGCCCCTACTTCAACCCTCAGTCTAATCCGCTTTTCGGTTCTCTCTTAAAAAGCTCAGTATCGACGAGCCGTCGACCCTTTCCCAATCGCCCCTTTTTTCCTCAAAAGTCAAAAAAAAGGTCCGGTAAACCTCCTACCCTCTTCCACCCCCTATTTTCCCCTCCTGTCACTGCCCCTGTTCTTCCCCTCTCACGGGCTCGGTTAAAAGTGCAGGGTTCACCCTCCCCCTCGTAATGTACCTTCCCCCCTTTTCCCCCCCCATTTTTTTCCTCTTCTGCCACTCCCAGGTTCCCTGTTCTTCCCCCCCCTGCCCGTTCTCCATTTCCCCTCCACCTTTCCCCCCCCCTACCTTGGTACAGTCCAATACAGTTCCAATCTTTATATCCCCCCCCTACCTTTCCCCAAATTTTTTGTCCCAACGACATCTCTGAATTTCCGAAACATTTGAAGCAATCTCTGAATATATTGCAGAGCCCCAAACCTCATGGACCTGATCCACCTTCCGTCTTCTCTTCCTTGCTCCCTCTGCGCAAACCCCTTTTTTCACGGACCGTTTCCCTTCGTGTTGAAAAATTTTTCCCCTGCCCCCGAAAGTGGACTTTTCTAACCCTTCTAGTCCGTAGGAACCCTTACCTACGGTTTCAAATTCTTTATCATTGCCAAACAGGGGTTTTTTCGTGGATATACGCGCCCGGGGTAATCGGGGTGAGTTCAGATGTTACTTCCAGTTTGCCCCCGTTTGTTTGTTCAGGAACCAAAATTACCTCTGCTTTTTATTTCTCACATTCACTATAATTTTTTTGTTTTTTCAGATCCTTTTCCTGAGGGACCTTTAAGAAAGTGCCCTTCTTCTCCCCATGTATTCGTACCATCAACTATTTATTCATCTTTGCTGCATTTCACAGCAGCCCTATCCACTTAATAGGTGGTAAGCTCTGTTCTTTATATCTTCTCCTTTTGGGCATTATCTATTCCGGGTTTTTTCCCCTTCTTGTTTCGTCATTACCCCACCGATTCTGTTATTGGGTTTTAATGCCCACCTTTCCTTGGGGAGGGTCTCACTGTGATTCCCGTGGGGAAATTTGTTGAGGCTTTTCGCCACCCACCCCCCCCATGTTTTAAATACAGGTACTAACCCATTTTGATCTCGGATCTTCTCTCTCTTGCATCGATCTCTCAGTTTGCTCTTCCCCCGCCCCATTAGACTTTACTTGGTTGTTCTCC